CCTCAAGGCTGGTCGTCCTCGCATCCCCTATCCCATCACCATTTCCCCTCCCCACCCATTTCCACCCCTCCCATGCACCAGAGGCGGGTACAACCTGAAGGCAGGTCCAGGCTCAATGAGTCACCTCATGGAGTTGGACATTCTCTCATGCCTCCAATCATCTCCCTTGGCTCTGCTTCTCCCTTGGCTCTGCTTCTCCCTTGCTCTGCTTCTCCCTTGGCTCTGCTTCTCCCTTGGCTCTGCTTCTCCCTTGGCTCTGCTTCTCCCTTGGCTCTGCTTCTCCCTTGGCTCTGCTTCTCCCTTGGCTCTGCTTCTCCCTTGGCTCTGCTTCTCCCTTGGCTCTGCTTCTCCCTTGGCTCTGCTTCTCCCTTGGCTCTGCTTCACCCCCTCTGCTTCACCCCCTCTCCTTCCCCGCTTATCGCACCCACCAGTGGCGGGTACAACCTGAAGGCGGGGCCGGGGTCAATGATTCACCTCATGAAGTTTGACATGGGCGGCGCTGCTGCTGTGCTGGGCGCTGCCAAGGCCATCGCTGCCATCCAGCCCCAGGGCGTGCAGGTGAGGGTTCTGCACCTACCGTCCGCCCACCTGTTCGCTCAGCGCAGCACTCAGCACCACCTCACCTCTCTTCCAAACATGCCTTGCTGCTGCCGCTGGGATGCCACGGCCATGGTCATGGGACATGGGGCATAGGCCATGGGGCATGGGGCATGGAGCATGGGGCATGGGGCATGGGCCATGGGCCATGGGGCATGGGGCATGGGGTATGGGGCATGGGGCATGGGGCATGGGGCTTGAGCCATGGGCCATGGGGCTTGGGGCATGGGGCTTGGGGCATGGCACGCGTTTAACTCCCATGGGGTAGCGGGGGAGGGGGGTCAATGCGTGCTGTTAGAGAATGAGGCTGGAGATGCACTGGGACGTGAAGGCAAGTGCGAGTTGTTGTGTGTTTTGTCACCTATCTCCCCACGCCCCTTGCTCTTAGCATGCCCGGGGGCCGGGGGCAGCTCGGCATAACGCCACACCAGTGGGGTCGGCATGAAGGCTTGATTGTTTTGATGTGATAGTCTGTTTGTGTGTGTGCTTTGCACTGCATTGCATGTGCGTATGACTTGCATGTGCCTTGCATGTGCCTGTTAACATGCCCACCACCGCCAGGTGCATTTCATCATAGCAGCGTGTGAGAACATGGTCAGCGGGGGCGGCATGAAGCCGGGCGACATCATCACTGCTTCCAACGGCAAAACCATTGAGGTGCGGCGGGAGCACTGAAGTGTGGTGAGACTAGTGAGGCGCGGGGAGAGCTGTTGGGGCAGTTAATACGGTTATTATGAGAACACACAAGATAGGCTTTGCCTTTTTCCTGCTTGTTGACGGTATTTGAAGCCAGGCAACATCATCACTGCCTCCATTGAGGTGAGTCGGGAGGTCAGGGAGGTGCGGGGAGAGCATTGAGGTAAGGCGAGAGCAGTGGGGCGCGGAAAAGCTAAATATATGCTTCGTCGCAGATGCTGCATGGGAAGTACAGTTGGCATTGGGTTGAAACTAGCACAAACAAAACTCTGCCTGCGCTCTTTTGTGGCTCTCTTCCCTCCCCACCCCTGTTGTAATGAATGGCGGTTGGGTGTGTTACTGCTTCTGACACTGCCACTAGCACAACCGCCCTATCCCTTCCTCCCCTTCTCTGTCCCTTCCTCCTCTTCTCCATCCCTTCCTCCCCTTCCCCGTCCCTTCCTCCTCTTCCCCAACCCTTCCTCCCCTTCTCCGCACCTTTCTCCTGTTCCTCTCCCTCCCCTTCCTCGCCCCTTCCCTCCTCCACGTGCCCATCCCCTCACAGGTGAACAACACGGACGCGGAGGGGCGGCTGACACTGGCGGATGCGCTGCTGTATGCGCAGGCAGCAGGGCGTGGAGAAGATTGTTGATGTCGCCACCCTCACTGGCGCCTGCATCATCGCCCTCGGAATGACATCGAAGGTACGCCCTCCCATGCATTGCTGGTATGCTCGTGGCATGGCTGGCGGGCTGATATGTCGGTGGCATTGCTGGCAAATCACATGCATGAATTCATACTCACGTGCACCCTCGCTCACTTACCCCCCCTTCCTCACCCTCCCATCTCCCTCTTCCTCCTCCTGCCACACCCGCAGGTCTGTTCACCCCGAGCGATGAGCTGTCAGCAGAACTGGAAGCTTCCTCCAAGGCGTGTGGCGACAAGGTGTGGCGCATGCCCATGGAGGAGGCGTACTGGGAGGGCATGCGCAGCAAGCATGCCGACATGCTCAACACCGGCGGCCGCGAGGGCGGCTCCATCACTGCAGCACTCTTCCCTCAAGCAGGTGCGTGGAGAATGAGAGAGGGGGAAACTGAGAGAGGAAAACACCACAGCCCTTGTTTGTTGCAGTTGCTCAGCGGCAGCAAGCAACAGCAGGAGCGGGTGTTGGTTCTGTGCCACTTCTTCTGACCAGAATCACTTTTGGCAGTCTCTTTTGCAGCAGCCCCTCTCTTCCTCCTGTCTCTCTCTGGGCTAACCTTGAAGCAGAACATTTGTGTGCATTATGACGAGGCAAATTTGCCTCGAACTTACTCTCTCTCTTGTCTCCTGCCTCTCTGTTTGCTGTTGCTCCCACCATTCCCTGCCACCATCCCCTGCCGCCATTCCCTGCCACCACTCCCTCCTCTCTCATGCCTCTCTGTTTGCTGTTTTGCCGCCACTCCCCTTTACCAGTTTGTGGTGGAGGGGTTGCCATGGGCGCATTTGGACATTGCAGGGCCGGTGTGGAGTGAGAAGAAGGGCGGAGGCACTGGCTTCGGTGCCAGCCTGCTCTACCACTGGGTCGCCTCCCACTCCCCCTAGGCCTCCCACTCCTAAGGCTGACACTACTAGAATTAACAGTCGGTTGGATATGCGGTGGCAGTAAAAAACTGGGAAAAGGGAGAAGCACTAGATGGATGGATCCCGCTGCTTCGTCCCAAATTATTTGAAAACTGAAAGCCATTGTTCGATTCAATCTATCCAGGTCGGCTAGTTAATTGGATTGTTTCCAAAGGTGAGTCTATTTAGTTAGGTATTTTGTTTTAATACCCTCTTAGAGGGGAAAACATGATAAAACTTCCCCCATATTTAAGAAACATTTTGAAGGAATTTTCGGCTTATAACCGAGTTGAAGCTATGTGTAAGGAATTTTCTCGGCATTCCTTACGGAGCCCGGCTACATCGCGTACAGCAAAAGCCGTTGTTCGCCCGTTCCTGCTCACGGGGCTTCGCCAATTTCGCAGCGCACAGTTTTGCCAAACCTCGCATTGCTGCCCCGGCCGTGTCTGTCAAGCTTATATGCTAAGTCAGTGTAGGCTTGTAGTGGGGTAGACAATATGGGGTACAACATTTCTAGGTTTTCCTACTTGTACCCGCCTCTTTCCTAGTTCACTCATTCCTCATTCTTCACATGGTATAGAGCAGGTTCCCTAGTGGGAACGCTTCTCAGGGCCCACCACTGAACTTGATTTTTATTTTTCCTGCCCGAGGCGCGCCCTGTAGGCCGCCCTCACGTCGCGCCCTCCTAGAGGCCCCTCTCACGGCCCCTCGCGCCACCCTTAGCGGCCCCGTCGCCACCCCTTACGGCCCCGTCGCCGTCCTTTGCAGCCCCGTCGCCGCCCCTCTAGGCCCCTCACGGCCCCTTCGCGGCCCCGTCGCCGCCCCTCTAGGCCCCTCGCGGCCCCTTCACGGCCTCGTCGCCACCCCTAGCGGCCCCATCACCGCCCTTCGAGGCCCCTCGCGGCCCCTCTGCGGCCCCGTCGCCGCCCCTATCGGCCCCGTCGCCGCCCCTAGCGGCCTCGTCGCCGCCCTTCGCGGCCACGTCGCCGCCCTTCGCGGCCCCGTCGCCGCCCCTAGCGGCCCCGTCGCCGCTCTTCGCGGGCCCCGTCGCCGCCTCTAGCGGCCCCGTCGCCGCCCTTCGCGGCCCCGTCGCCGCTCTTCGCGGCCCCGTCGCCGCCTCTAGCGGCCCCGTCGCCGCCCTTCGCGGCCCCGTCGCCGCCTCTACCGGCCCCGTCGCCGCCCTTCACGGCCCCTTCACCGCTGAGCCGCCCAACAGCCGAGCAGCCGAGCCGTCTAGCCGCCCAGCAGCCGAGCCGCCGAGCCGCCCAACAGCCGAGCCGCCGAGCCGCCCAGCAGCCGAGCCGCCCAGCAGCCGAGCCACCTAGCCGCCCAGCACCCGAGCAGCCGAGCCGCCGAGCCGCCGAGCCGCCGAGCCGCCGAGCAGCCGAGCCGCCGAGCCGCCCAGCCGCCGAGCCACCGAGCCGCTGCCGTCGAGCCGCTACTACCACTGCCAAGCCGCAGCCACCGCGGTTACAGCCCTGTTCCTACCGGCGTGCCCCGGCCCTACCCACTCGGACTAGTGAGAGCACTCCCTGCTAGACCACTGCTGTCATGGCTACCCCCAGTGTCCTTACCTTTAATGCTGAGGGTCGTGCTGTTGACTTTGAGGTCTGGGTCGATGACCTGCAGCTTTTCCTACAGTGCGATAGGGCCGACGGACTCTCCCTGTTTGATCTCACCTCTGGTGCCTCTCCTGCCCCGCCTACTGATGCTGAGAGCAATGTTCGCTCACAGTGGGCCACACGCGATGCTGCTGCCTGTCTTGCTGTGCGTCGCCACTTACCGACCGCTGAGCGTGCGCACTTTAGTCAGTACAAGAGTGGTAAGACCTTGTACGACGCTGTAGTTGCACGCTACTCTTCCCCTGCCACTACTGCTCTTAGCCGCCTCATGCTGCCATACCTGTTCCCTGACCTTGCTGCCTTTCCCACATTCGCTGACCTCATTACGCACCTTCGCACTAGTGACACTCGCTACCGCGCTGCGCTTCCTGCTGAGTTCTGTGCCAAGAACCCCCCCCCCCCCATGTACATCACCCTCTACTACATAGTCACCCTGTCAGAACATTATAGCTTATACATTTGTGTAGGCTGTAGTGGGGTAGCCCATAAGGGGTACAACCCAATTAGGGTTAGTACTTGTACCCAACTCTTTCATAGTTCAATCATTCCTCATTTCTTCACATGGTATAAAGCAGGTTCCCTAGTGGAACGCTTCCTTGGGCCCACCACTGAATTTTTTTTTTCCTGACCGGAGCGACAGTCGCTCCTGCCCGAGGCGCGCCTTCTGGGCTGCCCTTCTTTTGACTTCTCGTAGAGGCCCCTTCACAGCCCCTCGCGCCACCCCTAGCGGCCCCGTCGCTGCCCTTCCAGGCCCCTCGCGGCCCCTAGCGGCCCCGTTGCCGCCCCTACGCGGCCCCGTTGCCGCCCTTCCAGGCCCCTCGCGGCCCCTAACGGCCCCGTTGCCGCCCCTACACGGCCCCGTTGCCGCCCTTCCAGGCCCCTCGCGGCCCCCTAGCGGCCCCGTTGCCGCCCCTACACGGCCCCGTTGCCGCCCTTCCAGGCCCCTCGCGGCCCCTAGCGGCCCCATTGCCGCCCCTACGCGGCCTCGACGCTGCCCCTGGCGGCCCTGTCGCCGCCCCCAGCGGCCCCGTAGCCGCCTCCCTCCTTACACGGCCCTGTTGCCGCCCCTACGCGGCCCCGTCGCCGCCCCTAGCGGCCTCATCGCCGCCCCTACGCGGCCCCGTTGCCGCCCCATGCGGCCCCGTCGCCGCTCCCTTCCCTACGCGGCCCCGTCGCCGCCCCTACGCGGCCCCCGTCGCCACCCCTACGCGGCCCCGTTGCCGCCCCTAGCGGCCCAATCGCCGCTCCCTTCCCTACGCGGCCCCGTCGCCGCTCCCTTCCCTACGCGGCCCCATCGCCGCCCCTAGCGGCCCCCGTCGCCGCCCCTACGCGGCCCCGTCGCCGCCCCTAGCGGCCCCGTCGCCTCTCTCTTCCCTACGCGGCCCCGTCACCGCCCCTACGCGGTCCAGCAGCCGCCCCTAGCGGCCCCGTCGCCGCCCCTACGCGGCCCAGTCATCGCCCCCCGCGGCCCCGTCGCCGCTCTGCTCCCTACGCGACCCCGTCACCGCCCCTAGCAGCCCCGTTGCCGCCCCTACCCGTCCCCGTCGTCGCCCCTAGCGAGCAGCCTAGCAGCCGAGCCGCCCTTGGAGCAGACGCAACTGCAGCAGCCGCCCTTGGAGCAGCCGCCACTGCAGCAGCCGTCCCTGGGGCAGCAGCCACTGCAGCAGCCGTCCCTGGAGCAGCCGCCACTGCAGCAGCCGCCCTTGGAGCAGTCGCCACTGCAGCAGCCGCCCCTGGAGCAGCCGCCACTGCAGCAGCCGCCCCTGGAAGCAGCCGCCACTGCAGCAGCCGCCCCTGGAGCAGCAGCCAGTGCAGCAGCCGCCCCTAGAGCAGCCGCCACTGCAGAAGCTGTCCCTAGAGCAGCCGCCATTGCAGCAGCCGCCCCTGGAGCAGCCGCCACTGCTGCAGCCGCCCCTGGAGCAGCCCCCACTGCTGCAGCCGCCACTGCTGCAGCCACCCCTGGAGCAGCCGCCACTGCAGCAGCCGCCCCTGGAGCAGCCGCCACTGCAGCAACCGCCCCTGGAGCAGACTCACCAGCACCTGGGGCAGCAGACGCACTGGCACCTGTGGCAGCAGACGCACTAGCACCTAAAGCAGCAGCCTCACCAGCACCTAGAGCAGCAGCCTCAATGCCCGGGTCAAGCGGAACACACAGGTAACAGTCACCCTCATCACCAGTAGGCAATGCATACATGGCAGTGAGCATAGCATCATAGTCACTCTCTCCACAGGAGATGCGCGAGTGGTTTGCCCGCCGCTGGAGATGTGCTGCTGAGACTGGGGGTGCTGCTGGGGCTTCTAGAGTTGGTCCTGCTGGAGCTGCTGGCGGTACTAGTGCTGCTGGAGCTGGAGCTGCTGGAGGTGTTGGCGCTGGTGTTTCTATTGGCGCTGGAGCGTCTAGGGGTGGTGCTGAGGCTGCTGGAGCTGACGGTCCTAATGGAGTTGGTGCTGCTGGAGCTGGAGCTGCTGGGGGTGTTGGCGCTGGTGGTGCTGCTGTCGCTGGTGCTTCTGAGGGTGCTGGAGTTGGCGCTGGTGGAGCTGGCGGTGCTGCTGGCGCTCCTGCTGCCGCTTGGGGTACTGGTGCCGTCTTCGCTGGTTCTGGAGGCGCTGAGCGGCCGAGGCCGTACTTCGTTCCGCTCTAAGAGCAGGTTCTTGGTCTCCCGCCCTCTACTGGTCCTACTCCTTCCTTAGAGTGTCCACAGCCTGTCCAGTCGCAGTCACAGTTACAGCCCGCCTCCCCTCTACCTGCTCCTTCTCCCTACACTGGTCCTACTAGAGGTCTTGCTGAGCGTCGTGAGCCTGCGTCTCGTCCTGTGTCGCCTGATCGTGCTGCTCGCACTAGTCGTCGTGCTGCGCGTCCGCGTCCTCCTGCGGTCCCCGGCACACACCAGATGGCGATGCGTCCGTCCACTACTCCTCTGCGTGTCCCGTTGCCGTCTCCTCCAGAGTCCTCTCTTCCTTCTCTTGCTGACCCGGAGTCCGACTCCCTTCGTGCTGATAGTCCTTCGGTCACGTGCCTTCTTGCTACTGTTGTCACTGACCCTTCCTTTCAGTCCACTGCTGCGTCTGCCCTAGTTGCTAAGCTTGTCGACTTCGCTGCTCGCTGTCGTCTAGACTACGCTGCCAGTCTCGTTGCTCAGTCTGAGTCTGTCTGTCCTGCGTCCGTTGGGGGTGAGTGTGCTCTTAGCACAGACATCCTTGAGGACAGGCAGGCCGAGTTCCAGTGCTTTGATGCTGCTTTGCCTCATCTCGTGTCCACGCTGATTGCCCCTGAGGGAGACCCGGATGCACCAGACATCCCGACTCCTCGATCGTACGCTGAGGCGATCGAGGGTCCCTACTCCTCAGAGTGGCAGTCAGCCATGGACGCAGAGATGACTTCCTGGAAGTCCACAGGCACCTACGTCGACGAGGTTCCCCCACCTGGGGCGAACATCGTCAGTGGCATGTGGATTTTCAGGGTGAAGCGGCCGCCGGGTTCTCCGCCTGTCTTCAAGGCGCGTTACTTGGCTCGAGGCTTCAGTCAGCGGCAGGGAGTTGACTACTTTCAGACCTTCTCTCCCACCCCGAAGATGACCACTCTTCGGGTGCTGCTGCACATAGCTGCTCAGCGCGACTACGAGCTTCACTCTCTTGACTTCAGCACAGCTTTCCTGCAGGGCAGCCTCCACGAGGAGATCTGGCTGCGCCGCCCACCTGGCTTCACTAGTCGTTTCCCCCTGGTACCCAGTGGAGCCTCTGACGGCCAGTCTACGGTCTCCGCCAGGCACCCCGTGAGTGGCACGACACACTGAGGACTACACTTGCGGCTCTTGGGTTTGCTCCTTCTACAGCCGACCCGTCGCTGTTTCTGCGCACCGACACCTCTTTGCCGCCGTTCTACATCCTCGTGTACGTCGAAGACTTGGTCTTTGCCACTGCTGACACTGCTGGACTCACCCACGTGAAGTCTGAGCTGCAGAAGAGACACACGTGCACCGACCTCGGTGAACTACGCAGCTACCTTGGCTTGCAGATCACTCGAGACAGAGCACAGCGCACCATTACCCTGACTGAGTCACACAAGGTGCAGCAGGTCCTTCAGCGCTTCGGCTTCACGTACTCCTCGCCTCAGGCCACTCCTCTGTCTACACGCCACTCGCTCTCAGCTCTGCCTTCAGATGAGTCCGTAGAGTCGAGAGGCACGTACCCAGAGCTTGTTGGCTGCCTCATGTACCTGATGACCTGCACACGACCTGACCTTGCATACCCTCTTAGCATCTTGGCACGCTATGTTGCTCCTAGGAGACACCGACGAGAGCAGATGGCTGCCGTGAAGAGGGTGTTGCGCTACTTGTGCAGTACGTCGAGCATGGGGCTAGTGCTTGGAGGGCGACATCGAGTGGTCCTCACAGGTCACGCTGACGCTTCTTGGGCTGACAACCAGGCTCTGCAGCGGTCGTCACAGGTTTACACCTTCACCCTTGGCTCCGGCTCTGTTTCGTGGCGGTCTATCCGCTCGTCTTCTGTTCTCAGCTTCAGCTGTGAGGCTGAGATCTACGCAGGAGCCATGGCTGCACAAGAGCTACGCTTGCTCACCTACCTGCTGGCTGACCTAGGAGAGCCGCCTCGCTCTCCTCCAGTTCTGTACGTAGACAACAAGGCCATGCTAGCCTTGTGTCGGGAGCACAGACTGGAGCACAGAACGAAGCACATTGCTCTCCGCTAATTCCTGGCTCGTGAGCTGCAGCAGCGTGGTCAGCTGCGCCTTGCTTACGTGGCCTCTGAGGCCAACATTGCTGATATCTTCACCAATGCCCTTCCGCCTTGTGATCATCAGCGCTTCTGTACTTTGCTAGGTCTTGTGCCTACCTGGCCTCACTTGCTCACTTCTTGATATTGTTTATACAGTACTCTTTCTATACCTGCACTTGCTTGTCTACCTTTATATATATGACCTTGCATGTGAATTGGCCTTGTGGCCTTACCCTTGTGCTCGGACTGTGTGGTGACTTTGTGATCCACCGTGAGCTTGCTTTGCTTTGCTTGACTGGTCTTGTGACCACTTGTTCTCCCCCACTTTGCCTATGGGGGTGTGTTAGAACATTATAGCTTATACATTTGTGTAGGCTGTAGTGGGGTAGCCCATAAGGGGAACAACCCAATAAGGGTTAGTACTTGTACCCAACTCTTTCATAGTTCAATCATTCCTCATTTCATCACACACCCAGCTCCCTGACTCCCTTCGCTTAGTCAGGGACCACTTCCTCTCAGTTTGCCCCACCACACTCACCGTTGACCTCCTCGAGGAGCGCCTCCTGACAGCAGAGAAGAGCATAGTCACTGTAGGAGCCTCTCGTGATGACCCTCGCACCCCCGTCTTTGAGGGGTGTTCCCCCTCCCCCCTCTTGCCCTCTGTTGCTTCTGCTGCTGCGGCCGACCTCGTTGGTTTTGAGTCGGTCGGCGCTGCGTCTGCCTCTAGCAGGAGACGCCACACTGGCAAGGGCAAGGGGGGCAAGGGCGCTAGAGGGGCTGGCGGGGGCTGTGGAGGGGGTGGTGGAGGCAGTGGAGGGGGTGGGGGTGGTGGGATTGGTGGCGAGGGTGGAGGTGTAGGTGGCAGCAGTGGAGGCGGATGAGGCGGCGGCGGTGGCGGAGGGAGCGGAGGCGGCGGAGGTGGCGGAGGCGGCGGAGGTGGCGGAGGCGGCAGAGGTGGCGGAGGCGGCGATGGCAGCTAGTCGCAGCTCTGCGCAAAGGAGTGGGTCTGGTCTGGTGGTGGTCAGTGCTAGTAGCAGCAGCGCACTCGTGAGACCCTGTCCCCTCAGCAGCTTCGTGAGTGGTACGCTGCGCTTCAGCGCGGTGGGGGTACTGGTCCCTGCACCTACATCCTCCGTACTGGCGACCGCGCTGGTGAGCAGTGCGGGGGCCCGCACTCCACCCAGCGCTGCTTCGGCCGCCTAACGGATGCGTGTCGTCACCAGTTCCCAGAGGCCTTTGAGATCCCTCGCTGGGGAGAGCGGTCTAGGGCGGGGGTTGCTATCTTTGATCTTGATCATGATGCTATTCTTCCTGCCTTGTATGCCGTGTCTGATAGTGCTGAGGGTGACTGTTACCTGTGTGTTCCGCGTGACCCGGGCATTGCGGTTGCTGCTCTTGGTGCTGGTGAGGTTGCTGCTCTAGGTGCTAGTGCGTCTGCTGCTCCAGGTGTTGGTGAGTCTGCCCTCTCAGGTAACACGTCAGCTCAGGCCTTACACACCTTCACCCTTGACTCGGGTGCTTCCCGCTCCTTCTTTCGAGACCGCACCACACTTACGCCACTTAGTCGGCCGGTTGCAATCTCCCTGGCGGACCCCTCTGGGGGTCCTGTCCTTGCTAGCTTCTCCCCTGTCTTACCGTGCCCGGCAGCCCCCTCTGGCACCCTGTCCGATCTCTACCTCCCCTCGTTCTCTACAAACTTGGTGAGTGGAGCTGACCTACATGATAGGGGGGTTGACCAGTTCACTCTTGCGAGTCAGCGGGTGACCCACTGCACGTGTGCTCAGACAGGCCGACACTTGGCCACGTTCACCCGCCGGCTGGGGTCGAGCCTGTACACACTTACTACTGAGTCTCCTCCGATTGCTGAGTCTGGTCAGGTAGCTGCGTCGAGTCAGGTGTTTGCTGCAGCGTCCAGGTCTGGTCCTGAGTCTGCTCCCTGCTCGTGCCGTCTCCTGTCCCACCAGACTCTCCTTTGGCACCACCGCCTTGGTCACCCCTCCCTGCCTCGTCTCCGAGGCATGGCCTCCCGTGTCCTTGTCTCTGGTCTCCCCCGGTCTCTCCCTCCCCTACCTCCCGGGCGTGCTCCTTCCTGCGTCCCCTGCGTCAAGGGGCGACAGCGCGCTGCCCCTCACTCCTCCGAGTTTCCTCCGACAGAGGCTCCGCTGCAGACTCTTCACATGGACGTGTGGGGCCTCGCCCGCGTCCGTGGCCAGGGTCACGAGCGTTACTTCCTATTGGTGGTTGACGACTACTCGCGTTACACCACAGTCTTCCCCTTGCGCAGCAAGGGCGACGTCACTAAGGTGTTGATCGACTGGATCCGCGCAGCTCGTCTCCAGCTCAGAGAGAATTTCGGCTCGGACTCTAATAGAGGCGGGGAGTTTTCCTCTGCCCGTCTGGGAGCCTTCTGTCGAGTACAAGGCATCCGCCAAATCTTCATGCTTCCGGCCTCTCCACAGAAGGATGGGATTGCTGAGCGCCGCATTGGCATGGTCATGGACGTTGCTCGTACGTCCATGATCCATGCGGCTGCCCCACATTTTCTGTGGCCGTTTGCCGTTCAGTACGCAGCGCATCAGCTCAACCTCCAGCCCCGGGTCTCCTTACCAGAGACCTCCCTCACCCTGCAGTGGACGGGGAAGGTTGGCGATGCGTCTGCGTTTCGGCTTTGGGGATCTCGGCCGTTTGTTTGTGACATGTGTGCGGACAAACTGTCCCCCCGTGCTGTTCCCTACGTCTTCCTTGCCAGTTTTACCACCCTACCTCGCGCTGTGTTCTGTCCTCCCAGGAAGTCACCTTTGACGAGTCGGTGCCTTACTACCGTCTCTTCCCCTACCGCCCTGCACCCCTCCCCCGCCGCCGCTCTTCCTTGCGCCAGGTCCTCCCCCGAAAGACCCCCTCCCCCCTCAGGGTCCTTCCCCGTCAGGTGTGTCCCAAGTAGTCGCACTCGAGCCTGTCGAGGTAGCTGTTGACTCTAGTGCTGCTAGAGGTGCTGAGCATGCAGGTGCCGGGTCTGGAGGTGCTGAGCTTGAGGGTGCGGAGCCTGGAGGTGCTGAGTCTAGGGGTGCAGGGCCTGGGGGTGTTGGGTCTGCTTGTGTGGCCTCGCGCGGTGCTTCTTCGTGGCGGGAGCCACTCTCTCCGCAGGAGTTGCGCGAGTGGTTTGCCTGGTCCTAGAGCCGTGCTGTTGGAGCTGGAGGTGTTACTATTGCGGCTGGTCCCAGAGGTGCTCGTACTGGCGGTTCTGCTGCTTAGACTAGGGGTGCTGCTGGGGCTACTAGAGGTATTGCTGGAGCTACTGGCGTACCTGGAGCTGCCAGTCCTGCTCCAGTTGGTGCAGCTGGAGCTGCTGGGGGTGTTAGCGCTGGTGGTGCTGCTTGCGCTAGTACGTCTGAGGGTGCTGGAGTTGGCGCTGTTCGAGCTGGAGGTGCTGCTGGCGCTGGTGCAGCCGCTTGGGGTACTTGTGCTGTCCCTGCTGGTTCTAGAGGCGCTGCGCGGCCGCGGCTGTACTTCGTTCCGCTCCTTGAGCAGGTTCTTGATCTCCCGCCTTCTACTGGTCCTGCTCCTCCCTTAGAGTGTTCTCCGCCTGTCCAGTCGCAGTCATAGTTACAGACCGCCTCCCCCCTGCCTGCTCCTTCTCCCTACACTAGTCCTACTGGAGGTCTTGCTGAGCGTCGTGAGCCTGCGTCTCGTCCTGCGTCGCCTGTTCGTGCTGCTCGCACTAGTGGTCGTACTGTGCGTCCGCGTCCTCCTGCGGTCCCAGTCACACACCAGATGGCACTGCGTCCTTCCATTGCTCCTCTGCGTGTCCCGTTGCCGTCTCATTAAGAGTCCTCTCTTCCTACTCTTGCTGACCTGGAGTCTTACTCTCTTCGTGCTGCTTGTCCTTCTGTCACACGTGTCCTGGCTACTGTTGTGACTGACCATTCCTTTGAGTCCACTGCTGTGTCTGCTCTAGTTGCTGAGCTATTCGACCTGGGCCCCCCCAGGTCCTCCCCCGGTAGACCCTCTCCCCCCTCAAGGTCCTGCCCCGTCAGGTGTGTCCCAGGTAGACGTAGTCGAGCCTGTCGAGGTAGCTGTTGACTCTGGTGCTGGTAGAGGTGCTGAGCCTGCGGGTGCCGAGTCTGGAGGTGCTGAGCCTGGGGGTGCGGAGCCTGGGGGTGCTGAGTCTAGGGGTGCTGAGCCTGGGGGTGCGGAGCCTGGGGGGTGCTGAGCCTAGGGGTGTGGAGCCTGGGGGTGCTGGGTCTGCTTGTGTGGCCTCTCGCGGTGCTTCTTCGAGGTGGGAGCTACTCTCTCCGCAAAAGCAGCGCGACTGGTTTGCCTGGCGCTGGAGCCGTGCTGCTGGAGCTGGAGGTGCTACTGTTGCTGCTGGTCGTGGAGGTGCTTGTACTGACGGTACTGGAGCTGCTGGGACTGGGGATGCTGCTGGGGCTCCTCGAGTTGGTCCTGCTGGAGGTACTGTTGGAGCTAGTGGCGGTACTAGAGCTGACGATCCTGCTGGAGCTGGAGTTGCTGGAGCTGCTGGGGGTGTTGGCGCTGGAGGTGCTACTGGCGGTGGTGCTGCTGGAGCTGCTGGAGTTGGTGCTGCTGGAGCTGCTGGAGCTGGAGCTGCTGAGGGTGTTGGCGCTGGTGGTGCTACGAGCGCTGGTGCTGCGGCTGGGGGTACTGGTGCTGTCCCTGCTGGTTCTAAAGGCTCTGCGCGGCGGCGGCCGTACTTTGTTCCGCTCCTTGAGCAGGTTCTTGGTCTCCCGCCCTCTACTGGTCCTGCTCCTCCCTTAGAGTGTCCGCAGCCTGTCCAGTCGCAGTCACAGTTACAGCCTGCCTCCCCCCTAACTGCTCCTTCTCCCTACACTGGTCCTACTGGAGGTCTTGCTGAGCGTCGTGAGCCTGCGTCTCGTCTTGCGTCGCATGTTTGTGCTGCTCGCACTAGTAGTCGTGCTCCGCGTCCGCGTCCTCCTGCGATCCCAGGCACACACCAGATGGCTCTGCGTGTCCCGTTGCGGTCTCCTACAGAGTCCTCTCTTCCTGTTCTTGCTGACCTGGAGTCTGACTCTCTTTGTGCTGCCAGTCCTACTGTCACGCGTCTCCTGGCTACTATTGTCACTGACCCTTCATTTGAGTCCACTGCTGCGTCGGCCCTAGTTGCTGAGCTTGTCGACTTTGCTGCTCGCTGTTGTCTAGACTACGCTGCTAGTCTTGTTGCTGAGTCTGAGTCCGGGTGTCCTCCGTCCCTCGGGGGTGAGTGTGCTCTTAGCACGGACGTCCTTGAGGACAGGCAGGAGGAGTTCTAGTGTTTTGCTGCTGCTTTGCCTCATCTCGTGTCTACGCTGATTGCCCCTGAGGGAGACCCGGATGCACCAGACATCATGACTCCTCGATTGTACGCTTAGGCAATTGAGGGTCCCTACTCCTCAGAGTGGCAGTTAGCCATGGACGTAGAGATGGCTTCCTGGAAGTCCACAGGCACCTACGTCGACAAGGTTCCCCCACCTGGGGCAAACATCGTCAGTGGCATGTGGATTTTCAGGGTGAAGCGGCCGGCCCGTTCTCCGCCTGTCTTAAGGCGCGTTACGTGGCTCGAGGCTTCAGTCAGCGGCAGGGAGTTGACTACTTTCAGACCTTCTCTCCCACCCCGAAGATGACCACTCTTCGGGTGATGCTGCACATAGCCGCTCAGGGCGACTACGAGCTTCACTCTCTTGACTTCAGCACAGCTTTCCTGCAGGGCTGCCTGCATGAGGAGATCTCGCTGCGCCGCCCACCTGGCTTCACTAGGTCGTTTCCTCTTGGTACCCAATAGAGCCTCCGGCGGCCAGTCTACGGTCTCCGCCAGGCGCCCCGTGAGTGGCACGACACACTGAGGACTACACTTGCGGCTCTTGGGTTTGCTCCTTCTACCGCCAACCCGTCGTTGTTTCTGCGCACCGACACCTCTTTGCCGCCGTTCTACATCCTCGTGTACGTCCACGACTTGGTCTTTGCCACTGCTGACACTGCTGGACTTGCCCACGTGAAGTCCGAGCTGCAGAAGAGACACACGTGCACAAACCTGGGTGAATTGCGCAGCTACCTTGGCTTGCAGATCACCCGGGACAGAGCACAGCACACCATTACCCTGACTCAGTCACACATGGTGCAGCATGTCCTTCAGCGCTTCGACTTCATGTACTCCTCGCCTCAGGCCACTCCTCAGTCTACTTGCCACTCGCTCTCAGCTCTGCCTTCGGATGAGTCCATAGAGCTGAGTGGCCCGTACCCAGAGCTTGTTGGCTGCCTCATGTACCTGATGACCTGCACACGACTTGATTTAGCATACCCTCTTAACATCTTGGCACGCTATGTTGCTCTTAGAAGACACCGACCAGAGCATATGGCTGCAGCGAAGAGAGTGTTGCGCTACTTGTGCAGTACGTCGGGCATGGGGCTAGTGCTTGGAGGGCGACGTCGAGTGGTCCTCACAGGTCACGCAGACGCTTCTTGGGCTGACAACCAGGCTACACAGCGGTCGTCACACAGTTACACATTCATCCTTGGCTCCAGCTCTGTTTCGTGGCGGTCTACCCGCTCGTCTTCTATTCTCGACTCCAGCTGTGAGGCTGAGATCTTCGCGGGGGCCATGGCTGCACAGGAGCTTCGCTGGCTCACCTACCTGCTGACTGACCTAGGAGAGCCGCCTCGTTGTCCTCGAGTTCTGTACGTAGACAACAAGGCTATGCTGGCCTTGTGTCGGGAGCACAGAACGAAGCACATTGCTCTTCGCTACTTTTTTGCTCGTGAGCTGCAGCAGCGTGGTCAGCTGCGCCTTGCTTACGTGGCCTCTGAGGCCAACACTGCTGATATCTTTACGAAGGCACTTCCGCCTGGTGATCATCAGCGCTTCTGTACGATGCTAGGTCTTATGCTTACTTGGCCTCACTTGCTCACTTCTTGACCTTGCTTGTACTGTGATCTTTCTATACCTGCACTTGCTTGTTTACCTTTATATATGATCGTGCATGTGAACTGGCCTTGTGGCCTTGCTCTTGTGCTCGGAATGTGTGGTGACGTTGTGATCCACCCTGAGCTTGCTTTGCTTTGCTTGACTGGTCTTGTGACCTCTTTTTCTCCCCCACTTTGCCCATGGGGATGTGTCAAACTTTTATGCTATAGTCTGTGTAGGCTGTAGTGGGGTAGAGATTATGGGGTACAACATTTTTAGTTTTTCCTACTTGTACCCGCCTCTTTCCTAGTTCACTCCTTCCTCATTCTTCACAGTATCAGCCTACGCTTCGGGACTAGCCTGAGCCTCGCTGCTAGCATAGCAATAGCTAGCTCACACAGACCGCGTTACCGTTTGCATGTTTCGCGTATAAATCTTCGCTCATGCCTTCGCAATCCTTGCTACCTCGATCCATTGCACCCGTAACACTTGGTATCAAAGCCCCTTTCCTTTTCAGTGCTGTTCAGGATCCGTCACTTTGAGAGCTTACGACGAACTCATTACTCAACTAAACGCAAATCCGCTCGGTAGGAAGTTGCGTCTTAGGCTTAGCTACCATCTCCAAGTTGAATTAGTCGTGAAGATGGTCTAGAGAGTGAGAACCAAGTAAAAACGTCCAGTAGCCGCATGACTAGAATGGTAGAGGAAGTACAAGCATTAAGGCATAGGAAGTTGGAGTTGGGAACCTCCAAGAGAACCATGAGAGGGAAGGGGTTCTCTAAGAGCTAGGGAAGGATGGTAAGAACCTTCCTAGCAGCAAGGATGCAACCCTCATGATGAGGTCCTTGAGGTGTCACATGCAAAATCCAATCTAGTTGGATTTTGCCTAGGTGTTGCAACATTTGCAACCCATGCTAGAAACTTCTAGCCACCCCAATCCAAAAGTCAAAGTTGGCTTCCTAACCACCCAACCAAAGATCCCTTTATAGTCACGTCCCAATTAATCACCCAAATTAGTTATAACCTCAAAAGGTAATAAGAAATCCAAATCTTGGAAATCTTGTAACTTGGGCGATCTTGGTCGGAATAAGGCGATCTTGGCATTGTTGGAAAGCTCTGGATTTCTCCTGCATGATCAAGCATTTAGACTTGGAGAAAAACACAGAGATGATAATATCCAACAGCCATGCATAATGACATACACTCATGCAAATAATGCACGCATGAAAAGCACGAGCACTCGGCAGGACGTTAGGATGACATGCACTCAGAATGACGTGCATCCAACAAACTCCCCCTCAGACTAATGGACTGCATGCACACACACTCACACACATGCATAGTCTCATGCACACAATCACACATGCATTCATGACACTGCTACCCTCACTAGTGCAATGCCATGCCACACATCTTAGCACACTTCCAATGTGCGCTCTCGGGAAGTCTCTTTGTGAGAAAATATGCCGCCTGCTTGCTAGCCTTCACATGGTGAAGCTCAACAGCTCCCTCCTTCACCATCTGCCTCACCCAGTGCCACTTAATCTTCATGTGCTTGTTCAGCCCATTCAGGATAGGATTATTGGCCATGCCAATAGCAGCCTCGCTGTCGGAGAAAAGTGGTGTAGGTCCCTCCTGTTCAGCTCCCATGTCCTCCAGCAGCTTCCTCAGGAGCACGATCTCCTTGATGGCATGGTAAATCGCCATGTACTCTGCCTCTCCAGAAGACTGAGCAATCTCACTCTGCTTCTTGGACCTCCAGCTCACTGGTCCACCTCCGACCATGCACACAAAGCCGCCAACCGATGACTGATCCTCATCCTCTGAGGCCCATGTGGCGTCGGTGAAGCACGACAGCTTCAAGGTACCAGGCGTGACCCCATCTGCTCCAATCTGTTTCAGCTGGCCG